ACGTGACAGATAATGTGTGAAACAGATCCAGTTCAGCTGCTGTTTATCTCTTAGTTTCAATGGAGGCTGTGAGCTGTTGTCCTGTTTGGACACCATTTCTGCTCCTCCATGCTGTCACAGACACTACCAGTGGACGGTATGGGCGGGGCTCAGTCTAGTGAACTTTTTCAAGTCTGTGAGCGCTGCTTATCTGCAGGAAACAATTTCTGGGGTGAATTTCTACACTGGTAATCTGTTTTGACCCTGGTTTCTGTACTGGGAAACAAAGAGATTTAAAAAAAGTAGTCCAAACATACGCTAAAATTCTCCTGCCTCTTGGTCATTTTCCATTCATCCTTCATGTTTTCCCTTGTAGTGTGAACGTTTCACAAATATTCACACTATTGAGATGATTTTTTTTCTCCCACACGTTTTTCACAACCTTGTTCCGCAATTTTTGTGCTATTTCAACGATTCATATATCAAATCGTTCAGCTCCTTCAAGACATTCCAGCTATGACTTTTGGTATTTCGGCTGTTTATGCTTTTCAGCTATTTCACTTTCACGGCCACATTTTTTCCCATTGAAAATGAATGGAGGCGTTTTCAACATCTTTAAAATAATTCAAAATATTTGTGCTTTACACATTTTATCTGGTTCAGCTCTTTTTTACTTTCTTGTGCAATATTTAGCTTCATATTTTGTTTATTTTAGCCTTTTTCTGCTATTTCTTGCAAAAATTCTACTCCTTTGTGCAGATGAAAGAATTCACATGATATAATTCTTATCAAAGGATATAAATGCTTTCTTGTTTGTGTTTTATTGTGAGTAAATAATCGTTYCAAGATGGCGAAGTTTGGCTTGAGGTTGCCGGTGATGATAAAGATGTTTCCCTTTCTGTCACGTTTTAATCTGTTTTGATTCGTCGTACATAATTTATGTAGCTGCAGTTTAAAGAATCTGGGATTTATCTGTCATTTATGTTCTGTTACACRCTTGTGTGTGTGCGACTTTTTACTCACGAGCATAATGCGCCTTTTATTGCATGTATATTTTATAATCTGTCGGCTCCAGTTTGGAGCTGCTTCATTTTTATTTGACGTGTTTGTTGTTTTCACTGCATGCCTGATGTAAGAGTGGTCCTGGTTTTAACATCAGAAAATTCGGAGTACGACCTCTCGAATAAGAAGCATTTAATGTATTTATTATAGAAAAAATAACAAATAAAAAGCTGTTCCTGGACAAATAATACATATTTTTCTCTTGCAGGTGAAATAGATCGATGTCTGAAAAAAGTAGCGGAGGGCGTAGAGCAGTTTGAAGACATTTGGCAAAAGGTAATAAATGAAATTATTATTATGAAGTTTTTAGGTCTTATCTTGAATTTTGAACTCATTATTATTAACGAGGACATGTTCCGCAGCTGGTTTCCTTCAGAACTAACCCGACTCGTCGTTTTCTTCTCCTCAGCTCCACAATGCAGCCAACGCAAACCAGAAGGAGAAATATGAAGCCGATCTCAAAAAAGAGATTAAAAAGCTACAGGTGAGAGCAGAGGGCTGTGAAAGTTTTTAAATACTCAACAAACAAACCCCAAAAAATGAATCTTTAACTTTGAGATGATCACAATTAGCATTAGCATGTTTTTTATTGGATTTTGTTCAAAATTATTCTTCCAGGTTTCTTTTTTTTATGTGTAAAAGTTGACCTCTTTTTTTTCGCYTCTCCAGCTGAGTGCCTAAATGTTGGATTGCCTTTCAGACAAAAGTAAATGTGCGCGAGTCATTTTTATGAGAGCATTCAGAGCTCCTCACTGAGTCAGTCCGGCAAACTTTCCTCTTAACTCATTGGCTACGTTCACACTGCAGGCAAATCCGACCCAAATCCGATTTTTTTGACCCATCTGACTC